TACTTCTCTGATTCAAGCCATGATTTTAAAGGCTTGGCTTGATAGTGGCTCTGGTATTAAGCCGCGGCTGGAGCCGGCTTCAAGTGGAGCCGATAACATCTCTAATTCGGAGTACACATTTTCGGGGGTGCTATTATGGCAAAAAGATCCTATGCTGTAATTAATTATACCACGGTATAATACCATAATTCATTAATTCTACCATTAACTATACATTTCACATTCACAGACATTCTCATTAGAATTAAGATTAGAATTTGGCTTTATATTTAAATTTTATAGAAGCTGCCTGTCGGTGAATTATCATAAATGTCATATAATTAATTGTCTGTAAAGTGAAGTTATAAGTGCGTTTGCGTATGATTTTTATGTGATCCTACATAATTATTATTTTAATATGAAATCCAATCAGATATGCTAAAAAATAATATCTCTACTATTTTCTTTAACTTCGTCTAGTATATTAAATGGGACCCATACTTTAATGTTAAATCTAGTTAACCAAATATGTAACTTGGCTTAAAAATGACCATAATAATTACTATGCTTCATATTAAAGAAAAGAAAAGTAATAATATTATAAGTTTATAGGTATATCAACAAAGCTACTATAAATTTTCAATTAGAAATAATCATAAATATTAGTGTTTAACTTATTATAAATAAAAAAGAGAATCTTTTGTAGCATTTATAGATTCATATTATAATATACAGAAATTTGAAAAATGAGTTTAATTGCATCATATACTACCTTTGATTTTTGGATAATTCGAATTTGGTAATGATTATGTTTTTAAGCAAGTATATAACAAACCTTATTTATTAAATTTATGAAAAACTATTTAAAAAAGTGAACTAAGTAATATAAAATATCACGTGGGATCGGGACGTGATGCTAATTCGTCACATGGAAAATAACTAATAGAAAATTCTCAGGTGACAAATTTAGCATCACATCCAGTGCGTACAGTAGTACGTACGTATCATGAAGGTTAGAGGGGGGGCTAATAATTCTTGACGGCCATAATTATATAAAAATGAAATTGATTGGTTAGTGGTCTTTATTATTTATTTTATTGAAATTGCAATTGTTCACTCCTCAATTTGTAATACTGTATCTGTATGTAATGTTTAAAGATTCCAAATTTATTTGAAATTTAAAAAAGCTTTAACGAATAAATTTTTTTCGGCAAAACTTTTTTAAGATTACGAATAATGATAATCATACAATTGTCTGAATATAGTTTGAATGGCTTGGAGATCACGGGACCGACAATTTTTTGTAACATGACTGACGGATACCATCTCCATTCTCGATACGTATTTTGGGATAATAGAACGGATACTTTAGAATAAGAGAGTGATCTAATAAACAACGATAAGTTTTTATACTTAAATGGAGCCATTTCTAGCAAGTCAGACGATAAAAATTTGAGCCACAAGAAACATTATTATGCATAAACACCCAATCTTTAATTTTTTACTTTAAATAGTCTAATTAGATGTATATTCTTCATAGTTACATTAATTATTTACGTCATAATGTGTTACAGTAATTTCCCAATTTAGGAAGACAAAGATGTGGCAATCCGAAATTATTTGTATTTGTGGCTTTTTCGCGCCCTTTGTACCGGATATGGTTAATTCGGAATTCGCTTATCATATATTCTAATTGTAAAAAATTTAACTCTCCCATTATACGTATTGGTTAAATGTTTTGTTGCTGTTTTAAAAGACGGTGCGTACATGAACTTTCGTGTACAAAACATACTTAATTACCATTTTGATAATTCGGACTCAATTTTTTAAAATCAATTCTCAAGGATGAATCCAGATGAAAAAGAGACAGAACAGTCATCGAAGGATGAATTGTCGTTAAGTAATACTCAACAAATAGAACCTTCTGGAAAGGCGCAAATAAATCCAGAGTTTAATGATATCGTTAATAACGAAGAACAAAAAAGCAGTGACGAACAACTTGTCATTAATAGACCTATTACTGTAGATGATGTTCTTTCTGGCAAGATTACTCTTCCGAAGCCTACTCCAAAGAATTATAATGATTGTAAATTATAGTTTTCATATAGATTTTTATTGGAACTATTTGTTATTATTTTAAATCTTTTATGATCTTTCTAATAGCTGCAAATAATAAAAAAAAAGATAAAAGACCACATATACCGACAACAGGTAAATTTTTTTTTATTGATTAATATATCGAGAAAAATAAGATTGGATTAATGTTTTTATATATCTCTTTCAGACTCCATGCAAGAATTCCTAGTTATCCCTGATACTGGTAAAAAATCTTATATCTTTTTCATATTTTTTGATGATATATTTTTTTAATATGAATATATATTTATTTTTCATGATAAAATTTCTATATTTTTCTTTAAAGTTGATAATGAAACTACAGATCAAACTGATTCAAATACCAATTAATTCAAATGGTAAATTATTTTCATTCATTATATTAGTTATTTTAATCAAAAACTAATCAAATTTGTTTTTCAAGAAAGGGAATGAGTAAAAAAATCAGGAATAAAGAAGTATTTTAAATATGTTAATTTCTTTTTACATATTATTTAAGGTTTTATATGTAAACTTATTAGAAATTTTCATAGTTATGTTCTGGTAACAAGCTTCACTACCTTATAATGTACTACGTTTATAAAGGCTATCATTGTTTAGCAATGAAAATTAGAATAATTTTTAGAATATATATTTAATATATTCTCAAATAATTTTTTTCCTTTTGAAACTTTATCAAAAATAGTAGATGTATTTTTTGAATTTACCATTCAGTTTTCTTTTGCCGTTCCTTAATAATAATAATAATAATAATAATTGTTTTATTAATGTTATTAAAACTAGAAGTATTTAATTTGGTTATTGCAAATTTTTCAGGTTTTAGGATTTAATCTTCAATTTATTGGTATATTCCGTTATAATATTCTTGTATCTGGACTTAGTCTTTTTTTTTAGAACGAATAAGACGATATTGTGTTAGTTTACTAGTGTAACTGCCAAAACTAAAGTGTTGAATTATACTCAACTTATATTGGTGTGACGTTGACATATAGACTTAGAAGTTAATCGTGGCCATAGTTTTTTTTTTAAAAAATAAAATTTATGAGTAACAAAAGATTTCCGGTTTTAAATTATGTTTTAACATTAATAACTACCAATTTGCTTGAATCTCTTAAAATATTGTATAGAAAAAGGTGATTGCAACAAATACTGTATTATGCATAGCTGCTTGATCAAAGTTAAAATTTATTGATACAATTATTTAAATTAGTTGTAATGAAGAATAGGTAATTTTTCATTTACAGTAAAACGTTAAGTTAATTATTATTCTTATTAAACAAGAAGAATAAAGACTATTAATGGTTTGAAGAATTGTAATTGATGGTTAATTCTGATTATATAACTAGTTATTACTTTATTTTTATCTTATAATAATGAAGTTTTTACTAAATAAACTATTATATATACACGTATTTAATATGTATATATATAATAGCAAATTTTAATGAAAATACCGCCGTTTTGCGTGGAATATACTGTACGTATTCATTTAATTACTGCTATTAACCTAAAATTTCAAGTAGAGCCACAATCAAACATACTACATCATTTGGCAATGTGTCATCGAGCTATTACTACAGTCTATGAGCACGATCGAATAATATCTTGAGATGTTAGTATTGTCGAAACGAAGTTTTCGCTTGTACAGTATATATATAAGAAAATCAGCACTGAGTACAATTAACCTCACAGAGATTATTAATTGATCAGTTTGAAAAGGTATAACACAAAAAATTAATTAGTAGTTTTAATAGTTAAAATAGAGTTATAATGAAAATGAGAAAAATTAGGTAAAGTTAATGCGGGTTTTATTAATTAAAGAAGCTCCGTATAAATTTTATTTTATAAATCTAAATAAAGAGCACAATCGCCAGAGAAAACCAAGTCTCGTTTTCTTCACTAATTAGGCCGTTTGAATTTAAAGATTCGTTTAACGTTCCTTTTTTCATATATTCTTGAAGGGAAAATTAAACAATAAAATTAAACAGACCCTAAATTAGGTTCAGATTGTACCTGATTTGGATTCATTTATACCCGGGGGGTTTTGATTTATTTATATTTTTATACTCGTTTTCTATTGGCTTGTTTAATGTCGGGGAGAGCTCCAGTTGGAGGGGTTCAAATGGTCTTAATAGGTCTAGTGATGGGCAAATTGCAGATTTTCCAAATATCCCGCGCGGGGATGCATAAAATTATGTTAATGCGGGCCAGCTAGTTGGAATTTGAAAAATCCTATGCGGAATCCCGCCAAAATTGTTACATCGTTTTCCGTTTAATTCCTGCACATGAGACCCATTTTCTTGACCAGAGTAACCAGAACCTTAGTAATTCATTAGCCTAACCTAACGCGCCTCTTTCATAAGGTTACTGTTCATTGGTTACGCGAAACCCGGGTTTGATTCGCAAATTTACATCTCTAGATTACACTCACAATAGAACTTTGTTATTGGTTTTATTTGCAGTGTCACTTTGCTGATTTTTTATAATGGACTTTGAAAAAGGGCAAAATGATGCAAAAGGTGTTTTGTTAAAAAGAGGAAGAAATGAAAAATAATGATAATAACATGATATCTTATTTTCATTTGTAATAATATATCAGAAATGTATGATTTAATTTATTGTTTTATAAAGCTTATTTAGATTGGATAGTTATTTTTATTAATTCAATTAATTGATTTTTTACATTAGTAATTTGTTCTAAACATTTTAAATAATATATCTGATATATATATTTAGATAGCTAATGTTACATGTTTTTTAACAAATTTGTTTTTTCTCAATATAATATTAAGTTTATCCAAAAGATCAATAACTATCTTTTTCTCTGCACATAATCATAATAAACAGAATATAGTGCAGGAATAATAGACGGAAATGGTGTGTCATCATAGACTGTTACATCCCTAAGGTAGGAGTTGATATCAATTTTCGCATTCAAAAAGAATCAAAAAATTATTGTATTTACAAATTCAAATCAATAAAATATTTAAAGTACTCACCTTCTTCGTGGACTTGGCCAATAATATACTGCAGATGTCCGAGCAGACAATTTCGAGTTGTCATTTCCAAAAGTAAATTCTAATCCATAATAGGTACTTCCATTGACTTGTGAAACTATATAAAAATCATCTTCAAAAGCTCTTTTACATCTACGTTCAATTTGACCATTTAATGTTTCAAAGTAAACAAATTTATATTCACAAGCTTCCAAAGCGTATGAATCTAGAACTTTGTCAGTAGTTGAAAAAGAAATATAAACGATTCCAGGTAATAAACTTTCTACAGTTGCACTTGCGGTTTTTAAAGTATTAAAATAGTCTTTAGAACCAGATTTGTAGAAAAATTCTCGTACTTCATAATATCCTGATGTATATTGAACTGCATCAATAATAGCTCGTACAGTAAACGGATTATCATCTTTATTATCATTCAATTTAATATCTTGAGTTGAATTATTTTTGGTTATTTCCAATTCATAAACGTCTGATATGGCATAAGAGGAGTATACATTGGATTCAATAACATAATTATAATCTGACCAAAACCAACTATTCCAACGTAATTGATATATTTTAGGAATTCTTGTGATATCTTGAGCGTGACTTTTGTGTTTCAAATAATCATAATAAATTGCATATAATCCAGGTATAAGTGATGTGAATGGCGAATTATCATTAACAACGATTTCTCTATAAATAACAAAATAAAATAAAAATAAAAATAAAAATAAAACAATTAATTAGTTATAAAAAAGGAATTATATAATTAATACAAAATTTTTCGGTCAAATTTATCGGAATTTAGATCTTGAGAATTTCGATCACAGCTTGTTTATATTTGAATAATAAAAAAAAAGAAATATTTCATTATAATACTCGCCTTTGATCTTTAATTTGCGCCTTTGATGAAACAGTTGCAAACTCGTTTTCATCTTGGAAAAATTTAAACCCTACATCATTGTTCCCCACAACCCTTGAAACAGAATAAAAGTTGGATTCGAATGCTCTGGGACACCTACGTTCTACATGACCCTCAATATCTTTATCATAATCTTCTTTAAAAAAAATA